CTAACATTCTGTGATTCTGTGAAGTTCTTTCCTATAGGCATTACAAGATTTTTTTTCAAATCTACATATTACCATACTTTTTTTTTTAAAAAAACAGTTGAAAAAGTGCCCCCAGTCCATACCCTTGTGGCTTTTGCTGTCCAGGCTGGAGGAGAAAGTTGGGCAGTTGACTAGAGCAAGAGCCATCTTGGAAAAGTCTCGCCTAAAGAATCCAAAGAATCCAGATCTCTGGTGAGTTGTGTGGAGATTAACTGAATTTGGGCTACAAAGCCAATGCATTTTTCAAGCCAGCTGTTTTACATCTTCTCAGCCATTTGAGCCTGGATCTTATACCTATTGTAGAGTTTCTTCTGAACTAACAACTTTTCCTGAATACCCGAAATGCTTTGGTGATCCTGGCTAGTTTGTAGCTACTCTAAGGAGCTGGGAACTAGTTATTTCTTTACTGATAGTTGTAGTGCACAGAGCATGAAGCCCCGGGGATCTTTCCTTTCTGTTTGAGTCCCTTTTTCAGATTGTTTTTGATCCAGGCCATTACAGAATAAAGGTCATGTTTATTTTTAGACAGAGAGGAATAGGAAGATGTCAGTCACCTACACATACTCAGAATATGGGCAGATGTTTGCAATTTCCAGTGACCTTCATGTGACTCTCCGTTTGTTTCCGCATAGTGAATATGTTGTCATAAATAACATCACTGAATCTCACCCTTACCAGGTTAGAGTCTGTGCGATTAGAGTACAGAGCTGGGCTGAAGAATATTGCAAATACTCTGATGGCCAAGGCGTTGCAAGAATGCCCCAATTCAGGTGAGCTGGATCTCATTTCTCTCTTAAACACCGTTGTTTTGCCCAGTTGATAAAGGCACGTCTTTTTCCAAGATGTCCTTTCTGGCCAGGTCTCAAAATAATACCTTTTGGAGAGATGTCAGTCATCCTTCTGCAAATGAAATGTTGAGGGTCTTTGTGAATAATCCCAGTTGCTTTGTGCAGTCTCGCACCAGAGACGTCATGGGTTGGTGCTCGTTCCATTTTGCTGCAGTATCCCATGTATTTCTGGGTCTGTGGTCCACAGTTTGTTCCCAGATTTCCTGGGAAAGCATTTTGGGTATGGGTGGCTTTTCTCTGAAGCTGGTAAAAAGTCTCCCAAAGTTTAAAATTGAAGAAAGACTCTTGAGTGTTTGTAGTTAGGAAGTTCCGTGGAAGAAGAATGGGTTTTCCCTGTCTCGTTGGAGTACAGCTGGCCAGAGGAGACTTCCCACTGTTGGTTTGCCTGCACTGGTTGCACTGCTAACTGCGTGCTAAACAACTTGTGCTGGCAGCAAATCTCAGTTGCAGTTGTGATTAGGGGATCATGTACCAAAGATGTTTAGTCCTGGTTTTTTATTATTTTAAGTTATTGCAGAAGAGGCAGATAGGTCATCTAGTGTAAGTCGATTGGTTCTAACCAGCAGTGGAAACATTTGCCTCTTGGGATGGGAGGAGAAAGTGCATAATGCTTCCCCGTTTTTTGGCAGAATTGTGGGAAGACTTAATTATTTAAACATGTTGACATCTTTGGAGAGAAGATGTCACGTAACTACAAAATGTAGTAGCCTACTGCAGGGCAGGCTGGTTTAGCTTGCCTTCGGGCAGAGTTTTGAAAGGTGTTTAATTGGCGGCTACTAAAGTCCCAGTGAAATAATTGGGGATTAAGTGACTTTTATGACATGATAAACTCATTGCAAGCCGCTCACCATGGGGTGGGTCAACAAAGCAATACCACCCAAGTTCCGCTTTGTTTTGTGAATGACCTAATGCTCAACGAGTGTTTGCCACCACAGGCTTTTTTACAGAATCTGCCTGTTGCTATGGAAATGGGCAGCAGGATCTCAGTTTTTGTTGAAATAAAATCACTTCCAACTCTATCTTAAAACTCTACAAACCAGAATGAAAGCCTACAAGAATTAGCTCATTGGACACCTGCGGTCATGTAAACCAGAGAGTGCATCCATCGATGGCTGAATTGGTTCCCATTTGCTTATGGCTGATGTAGGCAGCCTGCACAAATAGTAAAATTGAAATATAATGGTGGTTGTGTCCTCAGCAGGGCTGAGAATAGAGGCCTGAAAAATGTAGTTTGACCCTATATATAAAGGGCAAGAAGAGAAGACTTCTGCTCCAGTGTGTCACTGCAGTCATCAAAGCTTGTGTATATTCCTGCGGTGCCGTTTATGGGAAGCGAGAGCGCTTTGATAGAGTCCTGGCAGACACCAGCTTTCAGGCTTTGCTTTGAAGTGATCAGCAGGTATGGTTGGCTGACGTGAGAAACTGAAGATTTCATGCTCCTCTGAGCATGTTTCCTTTTGTGCTTTTGGCCGTGAAAGGAACTAGGGATTAAACCCGGCTTTCCTGGACCTACTCTGTCCTTCATCGTACGTGTGGACAGCCAGCATCAGGAAGGCTGTCGTGCTCTCTGGCACCCTGGAAACTGCTTCCAAACCGTGTGCTTTGCACCTTCTGGTGCTGCTTCTGCCAGCACGGTTTCCCATTCAGACGAATGGCCATCTTTTGCTTTGGAAATGCTTTTCCACTGCTTGCAAGGTCTTCTCGGAAAGGCCGGAGCTCTGGGATAGCGCAGGGAGCGCTGGAGCTGCAGCAGGGTTACGGTACAGAGACGTTCAGAACTGAAGGTGCAGCGTAGCTAAAAATTCGGTAAAATTTGCAGTAGCTGAAAATTCAGAGTACTGAATGAAGTATCCATGCAGAAAGAGTGATGTGGGATGAGGCTGGGGCACGGATAACCATCGGGGTGGGGGCAGTAGTGCTGCTTGTGTTAGAGAGCACTGGCCTGGTGACAGGATGGGAGGAAATAACGCTAACCAATCTTCCTGCTTGGCTTGTTTAAGGAATCCTGTGGTCAGAGGCAATTTTCCTTGAAGCGCGACCGCAACGAAAGACCAAGAGTGTGGATGCTCTCAAGAAGTGCGAACATGACCCACATGTCCTGTTGGCTGTGGCCAAGTGAGTTCCTGCGCTCGATGTAGTAAAAATACCGGTTTCTGTGTGTGGCTGTGTCCAGGATGAAACTTTGCACTCGAGCACGACCACGTGATTCTGGCTGCAGTGGCTCTAATAAGCCCCAAAGCAAGTCACAGCTCTCAAGCTGTCTCCTAGTAACTGAGCAAATCTCTCCCTTGATTCTAAGCGAGGGATGTCAGCCTGCCCTGGAGCTGTTCTGGTGGGCGTGGGACTGCAGCACAGACAACGATACATTCGCACAGAGTCCTTTTCCAGAGCGGGGTATTGGCACTCTGAAAATTGCTGTCTTTGTGTCCCTTGAAAGGGATCTCAGTGTGCTTTCAGATGAACCAGGCTTAATTAAGCTTTATAGGATATGTTTTAAGTGTTTGTGAAGTTAAGGGTAATTTTTGCTGGTTATTTTTCTGTTTTTTATGTGGCTACCTGTATATTCTTCGTCTTTTCTCCCTATCCTAGATTGTTGGATTTTTTTTTAATCCTGAGGTAAATTCTGTGCTGTTGTAGGCTTCTCCCCACCTGAATTTCTGCTCTGTCAGTTTTCTTCAGTTGTGACCCTTCCTGGAATGCAGACTACCAGTCATACTATAGTTTGCTTCTCTGAAATGGGAAGGTAATCTACTAGGAGTTGTCTTGTCTGGATCCAGTTGTGAGGCTTCCAGTGATGAAAAACCGCTGTTAGAATTGACTCACGCCGTAGCCTTTCTGACCTGATGCACGAACAGCTCTACAGCAGTCGTGATTGGAACAAACTTAGCTTTCCTTCCTTTGTGAATACCAGAAGAGGTTAATGCAGGAAACATGTTGCCCAAACAGTTGCCCAATTCTTTCATAACTCTCTTTATAAGCCAAAGAAAATCGTAGGATACGCTCCAGTGACTGCAATGCTGGGTTCTGCCAGATAATGACAGCTGACTCGTTCAGCTTCATCAGCAAGTGAGAAAAATGTTAACTTTTGCTTTATGGAAACTGCTCCCAGGCCCCTTCTGGTGCCACATCAGGCAGTTTGGCAGCAAATCGCAACGCAGACAGCTTCCACCTCCCATCACGACTTGCATGTCGGTGCAGTAATACCGCAGCGTCACACATCTGTGAAAAACTTTGGTGAAATATGTTGCTGAAAATGGACAAGACTTGCAGGTGTTGAGCCTCTGCTGTCGTTCATGCTCTTTTAAATCACAGTTTATTTAACATGGAACAATCAAGAGTATTATAGGGCTTAAAAACAATCACATAAGCTGTATAATTTTATGGCTGGCTAAGCTCTTTATGAGGGATGGCTGTCTGATTTGATAAAGACCTTACTAGCTCAAATGAACTCTTTAATGCAAAGGAGTGAAACCGAGAGACTATTGACTCAGCTGGTTAGTTACTGGGGAGAAAATTCAGAATTCAGGAGTACCTCTATGAAATGGCAGCAGTTGGGCCAGGTGCCAGCCTGGGATCGGAGCAGGGAAGCTTAGGTGCTCGTAAAGTGGAGCTGACAAAATAAGTCATCTGCACTAGAGCGTGCTTCATGGGTGTGAATGAGTGACCACACACAGCCTTGGGTCCAGGAACGGGCATGCAGTTGGCAGCTTTTAAAAGTTGTTTGACTGTTAAATGCTAAAATCAACTTGAAATGTTAAGAAATTGGAGGAGGGGAAATGGATGTAGGCTTATGATCCTTTCTCTACACCAAGTCTGGAACAGCAAAATTAAGGGATTGAGTTAGCAAAGGTTGAGCTCCAGGGTAATATTTCCCTCCTCAGGAGTGTCTGTGTGTTCCTTCGACTGCGGCTGACTTTACCCGCTTCACCGCGGGGAGTGAAGAGAAAGCTGTGGATGTTCTTTTTGGTCCTCTTGTGGCTCTTTCCTTCCCAGGGGAGGGACAGTCAGCAGATGCCTACAAAATCTGCTGTTCCCTTCTTGGGAGAGCAAAAAATTGAAATCTCTGTAGAGCCTTTAAGTTGGAGTGCTTGCGGGTTGCCGCGTTCCTCTGCAGAGAGGCTGTTTGTTGACTCGCTTTTGGTTTTCTCAACAGGTTGTTCTGGAGCGAGCGTAAAATCACCAAGGCCCGAGAATGGTTCCACCGAACAGTGAAGATAGACTCTGATCTGGGGGATGCCTGGGCTTTCTTTTACAAATTTGAGCTCCAGCACGGCACAGAGGTGAGTATGTGCCGGGGAGCTGGGGAAGGCAGCAGGGATCCCTGGCTGATGGTGGTTCCCCCGTCCCGCGGATTGCTGCAGCGCTGGGCTGAGCGCACAGCTGAGGCTGTGGCTGTCACGCCTGGTCACGAATGAGCATGAACAGGCCTGTGTGGTGGTTTTTGAAAGGCTCTGTCATCAGCTGAGCTGTCTTTCAGGCTGCTTCGCTGTCCCCAGTCACACTAGTACACGCAAAGATCCATGAAATCCATCTTCCTTCTGAAAACTGCGAGCTTTCTCGTAGATTTTCCTGTAATTGCGATGCTGGGTTTGTGGAACTAGTCCCGTTTCTTCAGAAGTGTCAAGTGCAGGTTGCACGTGAACCCAGCTGGAGGAACAGCCTGTTCTAATCTCTTGTGGCAGTTTTTACTGCCTGATATTACTGAAATGATGGGAGTGTTTATCTTCTGACTTCAGAGAGACCTCTCACTTGACAGATCTCATGCAGGTGGCAATGTGAAAGAAGTTTCTGCTGCAGTTCCTCTGCAGTAGCCAAAACTTACTTTGGACAGTTTGTTCAGCAAAGCAGGAGGGTTGCTGCCTCTGAATTTTGACTCAGGCTTCTATACTGCCTTTAAAAAAAAAAAAAGATAAAAAATCCATTGTAAGCTTTGGAAGAGTGTTTGAATCAGGGAGGGGATTGTTAAATTTTTGGCTCTGTGGTGGAACAAACCATGGCACTAAGAGACTTGCAAACTGTCGTTTCTCTTCCTCATAGGAACAACAAGAAGAGGTGAGGAAGCGCTGTGAGAACGCCGAACCTCGCCATGGAGAGCTCTGGTGTGATGTCTCCAAGGATATAGAGAATTGGCAGAAAAAGATCGGAGAGATTCTTGTGCTTGTGGCAGCCAAGCTTAAAAATACCTTCTAGAGTCTGCTGGCTTCAGCTGCCTTCGTCACCTCTGTAGGACTTGTCTGCTTACCTGCTTTCGGTGCGTTTGCCCTTCTGGTGGCACAGATTTTGGAGGACAGGAGATCGATGGCGATATGAAAGATCTTTCTTCCAAAAAAAAAAAAAGCTGCTTCCTTCTCTTCCCAGCGATAGCTCTCTCGGCTCACACAACGCGGTCATCAGCTTCCGCAGCACATCTGAACGTTGCTGCTGGTGTCACGCAGGAGACACGAGCAGTCTTGTGAGGTTCCGTTGGCATTTTCATTTTGATGCCTGACCTCCCCTGTAAATACAAGCTTTAATTAGTGCTTGGATGGATTCTGACATTAGCGGTTCCTCTGGTTTCTCCCCTAGCATGCATTCCCGTCCTGTCCTGTCCCCCTTGAAGCAGTTTTAGTGTTTGGCCCATCTGATGTGGGTTTGCTGTCAGCAGATCCAATTTGTTGCTGTTTGAATACACTGAACGTGCTTGAAGGAGTTGGTGGAGTTCTGCTGGGGGAAGGAAGGGCTGGGCTGGGCCCTTGGTTTTCATTTTTTTGTCACTAGCCTGGTTGAGCTTGGTCTCTGCTGGTGAGCTGCAGCAGAGCTCAGAGGTGTTCCTCAAACCTGAGCAGATGGAGCATTTTGTGAAATTCAAGAGCTTATTTTTAGAGACCTTTTCCTCAATTTTTTTAGATGTATATAGTATAACCTTCTTTTAGGTGTCTGATTTCATTAAGCACAGTGATATTTTAAAGTAACAAGGCAAAATCCAGCAATCCCTGAGGGCCCTTTTGAAGGAACAACCTTTATTTAGAGCCGTTGAGAGACTGTGCACTTGTACAGTGGTGACTGCTTTCAGTTGGGATGACTGTCTTCAAGTGCAGATGGAAAAAAGCAAATTCACGAGAGGAAAAGCTTGGGACTCTTTCTAAGCTGTCTGCAGTTTTTTACACTTGTGATCTGTATTATTTTGACCCCCAAAACCTGACATTTTTGTGATCATTGAAAGAAAAGCTGTAAAGTTGTACCTGTTAGGGTAGAGCAGAAGTGCCCAAGTCTCTGTCTGTGCGTTATATAATGTGTTTAGTTGGAGGAAAAAAACCCTTCTCACTTGTTTTGAACAATATGTATAAAATAGAGCTTGGTTTTGTGTTTCCTTACGTTCTCTTTGAATGTGGTCTTGTGCTTTGACCCCGACTGGGAAGAGTGGGTCTGACAGCAGAAACCTTTGAATTTATCAGGTTCCTGCCGCCCTGGGAAGGTGCCTCCCAGCAGTGGTGACATCAAGTTGTGCTCCAGCCTTTTCCAAAAAGGACGAGAAACCCATCTTTTAACGCTTGCTCAGGTGACAGCGCTGCATCCCTTAAGGATTTGTTGGGAAGGGCTCCCCAGGAGCCCTGGGATTAAGAAAAGTCACGGGAAGGACTTGCTGGGGAGTTGCTCCGTGTGCAGAGATGGTTTCCCAGCGCTGTGCACCGAGATGTGCTGGAAGCCCTGGCCCGGGGACCTGTGCTGGACGCTGCACCGCGTCCTTGCAGCGTGAAGCTGCTTCTGCCGCCTGCTCTTTGCAGCTGCAGCTTTTCTTTCCCCTGGCCCGAGCAGGTTACATTCCTTATTTTTTGAGTTTGGGTTTTAAATTTTTTTTAGATAAAAGGGATCATCAGTCTTAGAGCCTTTTAATGTTTGTAGACGTCTTTGTGTTTTTTAAACGGATTATGGCACCTACAAATTTTAACTATATATAGAGCTCAATAAATGAGGTATATGGGTCCTGTCAGCAGCGGAATGCTGTGTGTGCCGTGGTTCCCACTTTGCATGGAGGAGGATTCTTGCCAAGCTGAGAAGAGCTGGATTATTCAACCATTTCTTTATCTCTTACTAAAATTCACTTGTTCCGCTCTTCAGCGGACCCTTGTTGCTATCGGTTCATTTTGAACAAAAGCAATTGAAACTGAGTGAGGGCAGTTTTCAGGTGATGTGCCTCCTCAAAACTTTTCCCCTGAAAGCATGGAACCACACTCCACGGGGGTGTTTTGGGAGCCTCTCGCCGGGCAGTCACCTCTGTTGTATTTTAAGCGCTGACCAGGGTTAGTGGCAGCTGCTGACTGTGACTCCAGAATGATAACGATCAACATAAACGCTTACAGAAATCAAAACTCAGCATGGTCTGGGCTCCGGCACATCTTTGCAGCACGAAATGCAGCCCCAGCCCTGCTCTACCTCCTTGTGCCCTGCTCCGGGGTAGGAACACAGTTTGGGTCTTAAGGTGGGTGAAACCAGGTCCTGCTG